ACAGACGCCATCCAGGCATCCACTCTACATCCATCCTTGTGGAAAAGGTACGTGGATGACACGTTCGTCATCTGGCCACATGGCCGACCAGCTCTGAACCAATTCCTCAATCACATCAATTCCATACACCCAGCCAACAAATTCACCATGGAGGTGAAAAAGAATGACAAGCTACCATTCTTGGATGTTTTAATCGAAAGGAGACCAGATGGCTCAATGGGACACTGTCTACAGGAAAGCCACCCATACGGATGCATATCTAAAACCTGACACCCACCACCATCCATCCCAAAATAATTCCCTCATCAAAAACTCTACACCATAGAGCTCGACGTATCTCTGACCATCAGCACCTAGCCAGTGAACTGAAACACGTAAACCAAGCTCTCAAGTCGAATGGATATTAAGACCATACAATCCGTAACGCTATCACCCCAACTAAAAAAGTATTAAAGCTTTCGTGACTGCATAAAATTACTCAATCCAAAGGTTGAAAGTGTCTAACTGTGTTGTTGGCCTGACTGGATGTGCTTCACATAATGTTTTTTGAGGTTTGTTGAATTCTCGTCTCTCATCTTTTTGTTGTATTTACCTCCGTGATTTGTTCTTGACACCTGATGAAGATCGCTTGCGTTGTGATCGAAACGTCGTGATTGTTTTTTGTTTTAATATAATTTTATTGTATTTCTACATACGTGACTTTACCGAAAAAACAATGAGTATCACCCAAACTGTTGGGGGAAAAAAAACATCTGAGGACCCAATCAAAACCATCACCTTACGATACATAGCAGGGGTCACCAAAAGATCTACAAAATCATGAGCAAACACAAAAACCAGGTTAGATTTAACACAATACAAAAATTTGTGATCTGATCCCATCTGTGAAGGATGTGATTCCTGGATTGCAATACCCCGGTGTCTACAAACTAAGCTGTGTCTGTGGCAGTCGTTACATTGGGGAAACTAAGCGACATGTCTCGAACCGTGTTCGTGAACATAAGGCAGATCTGAAACACGGTAGGACCAATACCTCGGCCGTGGCTGATCATGGTTTGAATGTGGCGGGCTCATGCGAAATTGAATTATCTAAGACCAAGGGACTTTGCAAACCCACTGGCTATCAACAAAGATTCGTTCATGAAGCTATCCACATATACAGATGGACACAACTTCAACCGAGAGAATGGGTATAAACTGAGCAATCATTGGAAGGACGTTATCAACCAGTTTAAGTCATAACTGGCTGTGATGTTCCCATCCTACTACCAACAGGTTAAATTTCCCACACGAACACAGCCACCTCGACGTTGCTGCTCTGCGATCTCCCATTGACAAGCTAATCTCTCACATTAACATAACAAGCCCCGCCCACTTCGTGTATGACCCTTGGTCTACACCCAATTCAAACCTTCAAAACAGCCTGCCTCAGCAGCTTTCCCCTCTTTTTTTTCCTCCTGATGACGATCGCCTGTGTGTGATCGAACAGTCATGTTTTTTGTTGTTATTTTATCTGAATCTATGGGCAGTGTTGAGTCTATGGTGCAGTGCTGAGTCTACGTGCAGTGTTGAGTCTACGTGCAGTGTTGAGTCTACGTGCAGTGTTGAGTCTACGGGCAGTGTTGAGTCTATGGGTAGTGTTGAGTCTATGAGTAGTGTTGAGTCTATGGGTAGTGATGAGTCTATGGGTAGTGTTGAGTCTATGGGCAGTGTTGAGTCTATGAGTAGTGTTGAGTCTATGGGTAGTGATGAGTCTATGGGTAGTGTTGAGTCTATGGGCAGTGTTGAGTCTATGTGGAGTGTTGAGTCTATGGTGCAGTGTTGAGTCTATGTGGAGTGTTGAGTCTATGGGTGCTTTCCCCTTTTCCTCGCGATTCCAATCGGCTGTGGTGGTGGTGGTAATTTTAGGAGCGAGCGATATTTATACGCTGCCTGGCTGGTTTCACTTCAACTTTGACGCATATTCCCGGACTTGAACAGGAAAAAGTATTTATACACACTGCGTGTGTGTGTGTCTTTGTGTGTGTCTTTGTGTGTGTGTGAACGATAAGACACATACTCTTGGTTCTTTCGGTAAAGTCACGTAGAAGGGAAACAATAAAAGAATAAAAATATAAAAATAAAAAAATTTCATTTTTATCATTTTATTGTTTCCCTTCTACGTGATTTTACCGAAAGAACCAAGAATATGAATCCCTGCAGTCACGAAAGCTTTAAATCAAAAGGATAAGACAGTCACACACACACATCTGCGTGTGTGACTTTGTGTATGTCTTTGTGTGTGTGCAGGGAGCGGTAGTGCAGCGGGTAGTGCTACGCTGGGCTATGAATCCCGGCGACCCGAGTTCGACTCCTGCTCACGGCCAACACCAGTTACGATTATCTGAATCGCCACTGGGGAGACAAAGGCGGTCAGGCGTGGTGCTGGCCAACCCACCCCCTCGTGTACCATTCTGGCATTCATAGGTACTCGCTAACTGCACTTGCCCCTACAGTCTGTTAAGGCTATATGGGGGATCTTTGTCTTTTGTGCAGGATGAGACAAAGACACACACAGACACACAAACACACACACACACCTGTGGGGTTTTTGTTGTTGTCGTGGTTTGTTGTTCGCGATGTTGCGGTTGTTGCGTTGGCGCGCTTTGCGCTTTGTGGATCTCCCCGTTATGGATGTGGCTGATGTCAGTCGGGTCGGCTGTTTATTTTTCACAGGGGGGTGGGGGGTGATGCAGTAACATAGAAATGGTCACGAAGCAGCATAGTGCTATCTGCTGGCAGGGAAGGGGATCTGCGGCTTGAAGCAGCCCTGACTGACCACAGGCCACGTGATAAACTCCAAGAGGGATCTCGGGAGAGAGATTATGGAAGGGGGCACGTGAAGAGAGCCCGGGAACCCGCTGGTAGGTTCCAGAAGGGAGGCGTGGCCAGCAGGCCTGAATTAAGATTTTGTAGGCCCCCTGGGCTACAGGTACCGTGAGGCCCCCAGTAATATTTTCAAAAGAAAAACGAATGTTGACTTAAAGCTTTCGTGACTGCAGAAAATCATACTCTTTGGTCTTTCGGTAAAGTCACATAGATAGAAAAAGAATAAATAAAAATCACGCTTCAATTGCAACACAAGTAATCGTCATCAGGTGAAAACATATAGCAAGAGAGCTGCTGAAGCAGGGTGTTATATAGGCCTGAGATGGGTGCAGCCCCAGGGTAAGTGGGCGGGGTTAGAGAAGGAAGATCGAGGGCACCCCAAAGCTGTTGGGCCTGGCCATTGTTTTGTGAGATTAGCATGTCAATTCAGCTACTGCCTCTATCTTTTTTCACCTGAGGACGATTGTGTTGCGATCTAAACGTCGTGATCTTTTATTATTTTTCTATCTACGTGACTTTACCGAAAGACCCAACGAGTAAGGAAAACAAAGTTAAGGAAAAATAAAATTGCATTTTTTACAAGGCTAACAACAAATAAAATTCAGCACTCACAAATAAAATAACTTTTCACTTCATCTCTGGAGGCCCTGCAACTGGCGGAGGCCCCTGGGCTGCAACCCCTAAAGCAGCGGTCCCCAACTATATTGGCACCAGGGACCGGTTTTGTGGAAGACAATTTTTTCACGGACAGGCCAGGGGGGGGGGGGGGGGGTTATCATTGGGTCTTTCCCCCATTTCAAAGAAGCTCTCCAGCGACGTTGGTTTTTTACTCATTTTGGCGAGGGGTTAGCTTGTGGGCTTACCAAAAATGTGACTGAGACAAGTACGCAGTGCGGGAAAGAGGCGCGGACGGAAGTGGTAAGTAAAATAATGGGCGGGCCACGCGGGGACTCACCGCTCACCTTCTGCTGTGCGGCCCGGTTCCTAACAGTGAGAAGCATAAATGTTAAAGCGAGAATCATGAATGTTAAAGCAAGAATCGTGAATGTTAAAGCGAGAATCGTGAATGTTGAAGCAAGAATCGTGAATGTTAAAGTGAGAATAATGAATGTTGAAGCCAGAATCAGGAATGTTGAAGTGAGAATCATGAATGTTAAAGCGAGAATCGTGAATGTTAAAGCAAGAATCATGAATGTTAAAGCGAGAATCGTGAATGTTGAAGCGAGAATCGTGAATGTTAAAGTGAGAATCGTGAATGTTAAGCGAGAATCACGATTCTTAAAGCGAAATTCATGTTAAAGCGAGAAGCGTGAATGTTAAAGTGAGAATCGTGAATGTTAAAGCGATAATGAATGTTAAAGCGAGAATCATTAATGTTTAAGCGAGAATCATAAACCTGAAAGCGATAATCATGAATGTTAAAGCGAGAATCGTGAATGTTAAAGCGATAATCGTTAATGTTAAAGTGAGAATCATTAATGTTGAAGCGAGAATCATGAATATTAAAAGCGAGAATCGTGAATGTTAAAGGGAGAATCATGAATGTTAAAAGCGAGAATCGTGAATGTTAAAGCGAGAATCATGAATGTTAAAGTGAGAATTGTGAATGTTAAAGCGATAATCATGAATGTTAAAGCGAAAATCATGAATCTTGAGGCGATAATCATGAATGTTCAAGCGAGAATCATGAATGTTAAAGCGAGAATCGTGAATGTTAAAGCGAGAATCGTGAATGTTAAAGTGAGAATCATGAATGTTGAAGCGAAAATCATGATTGTTAAAGCGAGAAGCATGAATATTAAAGGGGGAATCATGAATGTTAAAGCGAGAATCGTGAATGTTAAAGTGAGAATCATGAATGTTAAGGCGAGAATCATGAATGTTGAAGCGAGAATCATGAATCTTGAAGCGAGAATCGTGAATGTTAAAGCGAGAATCGTGAATGTTAAAGTGAGAATTATGAATGTTAAAGCGAGAATCATTGATACATACCCCTAGACAGCGAAATCACACAATCACACGCACACATAATCACTAACTTGTAATAATCTTGATTTGAAGCTCACAAGGCAGCTGACATCGCAGCTGTCGCGATCTTCACCTGAAGACGAGCGCTCGTGTTGCATTCGAAACGTCGTGATTTATTTTATTTTATTTCTATCTATGTGACTTTACCGAAAGAACCAGAGTATAACACATAGTAACTGATCACGCACAAATAATCACGTACGCAAGCATTACATCGTAACAATTTTATACACTCATTCTTAACCACACTTAATTGCAGACATTAACATAATTGAACAAAAAAATATTTTATTATTTTATCACATTTCCTTTAAAATTTACACGTCACACAATATATACAACACAGCACTTGCCCCTACAGCCTGCTAGAAGCTACACGGGGGATCTTTGTCTGTGTGTAGGTGCTACTAACAGCACTTGCCCCTACAGCCTGCTGGAGGCTACACGTGGGATCTTTGTCAGCCAAGGTCATCTTCCAAGGTCACCAGGTGAGGTCACCAGCTGAGGTCACCAGCTGAGGTCACCAGCCGAGGTCACCAGCCGAGTTCCCCAGCAAAAGGTCACCCAAAGTCACCAGCTCAGGTCACCAGCCGAGGTCATCGGCAAAGGTCAACCAAGGTCACTGGTCGACGTCACCGGCGAAGTCAGCCGAGGACGTGGGCATCGACGAGCCGTCGGTAGAGGTCAGGGCGGTGGTCACGCAGGAAGACAGCCAGCTTGCTCAGCAGGTTGGTGCCGCTCACCAACTCTGTGTGGGTGGCGAGTGGGGTGGTGAGAGTGGTGAGTGAGCAAGTAAATTTGTGAGTGGGTGGGTGAGTGAGTGAGTGGGTGAATAAGAAAGTGAATGAGTGTGTTGGTGGATGGATGAGTGAATGGGTAAGTGGAAAAGTGGAAGAGTACTTTGGGTAAGTGGGTTGGTGAGTGAATGAGTAGTTGAGGTGGTGAGTGGGAGTGGTGAGGAGTGAGTGGGTGAGTGGGTGAGGGGGTGAGTGAATGAATAGGTCAGTGAGTAGGTGAGTGAGTAAGTGGGCGAGTGAAATATGAGAATCACAGATGGCACCCCCACCATACACACAAAACAAAGACAAAGCACCCCCCAAGACAAAGCACCCCCATGTAGACTGTAGGGTCAAGTGCTCTTAGCGAGTAGCAGCGCCAATGAAGGCAGGCACGGCACACCGGCGGGTGGGTGGCCAGAACCACGTCCTGTCGCTTTTGTCTCCCCAGTGCTAGCGATGTTTCCACACCGCACCAGGTACTCATTTGAGGCTGACTATACCTAGGGGAGGTCCAGGACCGGTTCAGACAATCGCCTCTGGTGGTGTTGGCCGTAAGCGGGAATCGAACTCGGGTCGCCGGGTTCATAGCACAGTGCGCTAACCACTACACTGCCGCTCCCCACTTGCGCATCTACAAATATCCCCCATATAGCCTTAACAGACTGTAGGGGCAAGTGCTGTTAGCGAGCACCTATGAAGGCCGGAACGGTACACGAGGGGGTGGGTGGCCAGCACCACGCCCGACCGCCTTTGTCTCCCTAGTGGCAATGTTTACACAGCGCACCAGGTACTCATTTGAGGCTGAGTCGACCTAGGAGAGGCCCGGGACCGGTTCAGATAATCGTCACTGGTGTTGGCCGTGAGCGGGAATCGAACCCGGGTCGCCAGATTCATAGCGCAGAGCGCTAACCGCTACACTATCGCTCCCCACTATCTACAACAACAACAACCGCCATTCGCCACTAAGTGGCGGTGACGTCACCACGACGCTTGTGCCAGGCTATGTGCACCCTGAGGCCACGTGAAGTGTCGAATGCCCGCTGGCAGGAGGTCACGGGGCAGACCCAGGTGCCACGGGTCGACTGACTGAGATGACTGGCTGATGCACCACCTGTGCCCCCTACTGTGCAACCTGCTGTGCTTTAGCCACCCGGCGCTCTGCTCGTTGTTGTGAGCGTCGCTCCTCCGCCCTCCGTTGTTGTTGGAGGGCGACTACCTCCAACTGCCCAGTAGCATCCTTCACGAGCCTCCTCCACAGAGGTTGATCTTGACACCGCTGGTACCAGTCATCGGCAAGTCCACTCAGCTCCACGTCCTCATGTACCACATCACTCCATCTCTTCTCTAGCCCGTGCCGCGCCCGCTTAGCCCCCTCAATCCGGCCGAACAAAAGCTGTTTCGGCATGCGTTGGCTGGGCATGCGGGCTACATGACCCAGCCATCGCAGCCTTGCCCGCCGGAGGAGCTCACCGATGGGAACTTGCCCAGATCTTTCAAGTATTTGTGAGCTCCTCACACAATCCAGTCTGGTTAAACCCAGGATGGATCGTAGGCAGGCCAGCCTAAATGTTTCTAACCGGCGAAGATGTTCCATTAGGGGGGTCCACGTTTCGCAAGCGTAGAGAAGGGAGGGAATGACCGTGGCCGAGAAGACCTGAAGCTTAGTGCGGAGCGACAGACCAGGTAGCTTCCACACAGCGTTACGCAACCGATGAAAAGATATTGCCGCTCGACTGATTCGGAGTGAGACCTCTGCTGTTAAACTGGAGCCAGTCATAAGCACACTTCCCAGGTCTGGGAAACTCTCCACTCTCTCCACAACTGCCCCATCACCGATTGGGAGTTGTGGGGGTGGAGTGTCCGACGGTACAAAATACCCAGGCAGGTGCTTAGTTTTGGTGGGGCTGATGGTAAGGCCCCACCTCTTAGTGGCACGCTCCAGTCTCAGCAGCAGCGTCTCCAACTCCTCCTCTGACTGAGCAGCTATTACCAAATCATCAGCATACATAACGTGGTTGACCAATAGGGAGCCATCCCTTGACCGCACCCGGGCATCGATCAGCCTCCCATTATATCTGTACCATATGGAGATTCCCCCGGTACAGCTATTGAAGGCTTCACGAACTACGTGGTCAAAATAGATGTTAAATAATGTGGGAGCCAGAGGACATCCCTGTCGCACCCCAAGGTGTACAGGGAATGGCTCTCACTCCCAGCCACGTAGTTTTACCCGGGCCCGCTCACCATCATGAAGGTCCTTAATGATCGTGAGCAGAGGGTCAGGTACTCCAAAAGCACGAAGAACGACCCAGAGCCCAGGCCTACTGATGGTATCATAGGCCTTGACCAGGTCAATAAAGCAGAGATGTAGGTCTTGTTGGAATTCCCTACACCTCTGCTGTAGCAGACGGACAGAAAATATGGAATCTGTGCAGGACCGCCCTTTCCTGAAACCGCATTGGGGCTCCGCAAGCCTCTCCTCAGCGTGCCTGGCAAGGCGATGCTGAATAATCCTTGCCAGGACCTTTCCCGGCACACTGAGGAGTGAGATGCCCCTGTAGTTGTTACAGTCTGTGCGGTCCCCCTTCTTAAAGAGGGGGACCACCAGGGCATCCTTCCAATCCTGCGGAACCCGTCCACCGGCCCAGACCGTTGTTATGATGTCATATAGGGCAGTCTGTGCACAAACGCCACCCTCCCTCAGCATTTCGCTTGGGAGATCATCTCTGCCCGCTGCCTTTCCTGGTCTCAGACTCCAGATCGCCTTCAGTACTTCCTCAACAGATGGCACCTCAGCCAGCCACTCACAGGGGGTGACTTATTCCAATATTTGAGGCACCACAGCCTCAGCAGGGTCATCCTCACTTTGTGCCACGATGTTTTCCTGGCTGAGGGATTTTCCCTCCCCCAGGACCTCATAGAAATGCTCAGCAAATCTGCAAACCTGTTCCTGGGGGTCGGAGATTGGATCACCGTTTTTTCCCCTAATGATGGTAATAGGTGTGGTGCTGCAGGTTACTTTTTTGGAGTTAAATAGAGATTTGTGATCGCGGGCCACTGAGGCAGACTCCATCTCCTCAGCAACCCGCGACCACCACCCATCCTTGCAGCGCCTCACGGCTCTCCGAACCTCCGAGTGAAGGCTGCGGTAAGCCTCCTCATTCTCTGACGTGGGATTCTATAGCCGATGACAGTGGGCCTGTCGCTTTTTCTCAACCATCCTGAACACCTCCTCTGTCAGCCAGGGTCTCTGGGGAGGTCTGGACTGCGTACCCAAAGCAGCCATTGCAGCTGCATGAGTCACAGTTCTAAACCTCGCCCATTTACCCTCGACATCAGGAGGAGTCGGGGACGATGCCAATCCCAGCCGCAAGCGATGATGAAATTCCCGCTTGCAACTTTCATCAGATAACTGAGACCAGGCCACTTTAGGTCGGAATGGGGTCCTGGGTGTACACCCACCACCGGAGTGGAAGAATGGCAGGCGCATCTTACAGATGACTAGTCGATGGTCAGAGGGCAGATCAGCTCCACGGTAGGTCCTGGTGTCAAGGACATAGGCTTGCATCCGCTGGTCCATCACTATGTAGTCCAGCAGATGTTCTTGCTTGGACCCGGCATGCATCCATGATGTTGTGTGGATGCGCCGATGCCGGAACAGCGTGTTGGTAATTACAAGCCCATGGGCTGCACAAAAATCTAGCAGCCTCCTACCGTTGTTATTGAGCTGATCTGGCCCATGCCCTCCAATCACTCCAGACCAGGTGCCAGTATCATGACCAACTCGGGCATTAAAGTCACCCAACATGATGACTCTATCCCGAGGGGCCACTTTAGCCAGCACCTGTGACAGGAGGTCATAGAAGGAATCTGACTCATCGGCTTTGCCTGCATCCCTCCACGGATGTTCATCTTCGGTGGGGGCATAAGTAACCACGACCACCATTCCTCGCCTCCGGTTGATGGTAAGGCGAGCCCAAAGTAGCCTAGGGCTTACAGCTTCCCACACCTCACCGCCACGCTCCGACGCCCCCTTCATTATTTTGTTCAAAAGAAGAGCCACACCCTGTTGTTTGGCAGTCTGCTGCCCCGAGTAGAGGACTGTCCACCCCTCATGGTGGCAGGAGCCAGAGCCGGTCCACCGGACCTCCTGAATGCCGCATAGATCCAGGCGGTACCGGTCCAGCTCCCGACAGAGGAGTGGCAGCCTCTCCTCCGCAGTGAGCGTTCGAACATTCCACGTGGCCACCCGTAGTGGCTTTTCGTTGTTTCTGGAGGAGCCCCGAGGGTGGATATTCAATCTCCTGGCTCCGCCAATTGGGGTTTGGCCAGGAGACGTCATAGACGCCTGGCCCCCCGGGGCCTCCGGCACAAGCTTATTAGTTACATATTTCAGTTTAACTCGTGGTTTCGTGGTAATTAATTGAAGGTGGAGGGGTTACCAGCCCCTCGCACCCGTCCAGAGCCCCCGTTTAGCCCCTGTGGTGGACACATAAGCCATGAGGGGAGGAGCCAATCAAAATTGGATCTCCCCCCACAGCACTGTCCACGACAGAGTTGCCCGTCCGGCACAGCGAGGAGGTAGGGGGTTGTTTTGCCGAACCCACTATCTACACACACAGACACACACCCTAAACACACTCTACACACACCCTACACACACCCTACACACACCCTACACACACCCTACACACACACCCTACACCCACACCCTACACCCAGACCCTACACCCTACACTCACACACTCGACACACACACCCTACACCAGGGGTGTCCAAAGTTTTTTTAGTGAGGGCCAAATACAGAAAAATAAACAAAAGGCCGGGCCACACACTAGAGGTGACATATTGACACATGAATACTGTTTGTATTTCTAACTCACCTATAATGTGAAGAACATTGCACTCAGTGGGAGCAGTGATCCTGTCCTTTGGATTGAAGAATGGCTGACATGTCAGGAGAAAGTTTGGTGGTTGAGACACAAAGGACTTCACAGAGATGGCTATCAGTCATTCTGGTTCTCAGTCTGCTTTTGTTCTGATTTAACAGAGAAAATGTTTGTTCACATATCTATGTTGAGCCGAACAGGCTCATCATTCTTTTTGCGTGGCGTCTCATCAGAGGAAACTTGGTATTATCCAAACTCTGATAGAAGTCAGGGAGGGAGAGAAGCTGATGTTGACTCTTCAGAGAATCATCACATTGCATTTCAATCAGTTCTAACTGCAGACTCTCTTCCACTTCTTCTGCATCCACCAGGAAGGGGGTCAAGAACAGCTTGATTTGTTTTTCAATGACAAAAAAATCTTGGAAACGCTGGTTGAATTCTGTCATGAGAGATACAATCACAGACACATTTCTCCTTTTTAGCAGAAAGGTCGGCCTTTGGAAAAGCAGACTTGATTTCAGACAGCGCAGGGAAGTGTGTAGCATTAAAGCTTCATAGTTGTGTCTCAAACAGGCGGAGCTTTACACAGAAGGCTTACATTTGCGCATACAGGTGTGGCACCAGCTGTTCTTTGCCTTGTAGGTTCTTGTTCAGTGTATTCAGATGATGAGTAAGATCAACTAAAAATGCCAGGTCTGCCAGCCACAGAGGGTCACTCATTTCATGAAGAGGTCGGCCCTTCTCTTTCAAAAACTGGTCGATTTCTGATCTCAGCGAATAAAACCACTGCAGCACAGAGCCGCGGCTGAGCCAGCGCACATCAGAGTGGTAGAGTACATCCCCGTATTCAGCATCCACATCAGATAGGAAAGGTTGAATTTCTCTGTGGTACAGTCCTCTAGCTCGAATTATGTTGACAGTTTTTACAACAGTGTTCATGACATTGCCCAGCTGGACAGTCTTGGCACACAGTGCTTCTTGGTGGATTATACAGTGCATCCTAACAGCCTCACCTCCGCTCTCTTTTACCTTGGCGCACACCATCGATGCCATTCCTTTGCGCTCGCCCGTCATGACCGGAGCTCCATCCGTTGTTACTCCACAGAGCTTGTCCCATTTAAGCCCCATCTTTTCAACTGCCTCTGACACAGCTTCAAAAATATCTCTACCCATCGTTTTGCCTTTTAGGCTCATCATATCAAGCAGTTCCTCCGTACAGCAAAAATTATCTACTCCCCGAAAAAAAATTAACAGCTGCGCGGTGTCTGTGGCATCTGTGCTCTCGTCGCATGCTATCGAGTAAAAATCAAAAGCACAAGCTTTGTCTCTCAGCTGAAGTTTCAAGTTAGCTGACAAGTCCTCGATTCTCCGCACCATGTATTTCTGGATAAGCTCACGCTGTTGAAATCCTGCACTTTTTCCGGGCACATTATTTCTGTGACTTTGATGAGGCACTGCTTTATGAAATCACCGTCTGAGAACGGTTTGCCATGCTGGGCAATAAGTTTAGTGACTTCATAGCTTGCTGTTGTGGCGTTTTCCTGTATTTTGTTAGCACGAAAAAAAATTGTTGTTGAGCTTGCAGGCTAGCCGCCATTTGCTTGACTTTCTGTGTTCGTTCGGCACCGGTGTACGATGTGTAGCTCTGATGTTTGGTCTCATAGTGCCGACGGACATTATACTCTTTCATCACAGCAACATCTTCATTGCAAATCAAACAGACACACATTCCGTTGATTTCTTTGAAAAAATATTCATTTTCCCACCGTGTTTGAAATCTTCTACTCTCACTTGCTATTTTGCGTTTCTTCGGTGCTGCCATTTCTGGTGACTCGCGGTAAAAGTTTTTCTTTGCTTAATTTTGTTTAGTGGAGAAGCACGGTTTTCCGTGGCTGGCTCCATCTAGTGTTGAAACTAAGAAGTGCAACAGAGTTGAGCTCAAGCTTCTTGTGCGGGCCATATTCAATTATATTTTCAGAATTTGCTGCGGGCCAATAAAACCTTGACCGCGGGCCACAGTTGGCCCGCGGGCCGTAGTTTGGACACCCTTGCCCTACACACACCCTACACACATACACCCGACACACACTATAACCATACACACACACCCAACACACACACCCAAAACACACACAGCCTACACACACACCCTGCAACCCCGACACACACCCTACATCCTACACCCACATTACACACACCCTACACACACACACCCTACACACACACACCCTACACCAAACACCCACCCTACAACCCATACACACACTACACACCCTACACACACGACACCCTACACACACCCACCGAGTTGGCTGGCCACGGCCTGTACAGCCAGCACGGCCCGTGGGACCGACCGCTCCTCCCGGCACACCACCTCCAGCTCCCCCACGGCGTAGCCAAAGTCGCTCACGTCCAGGTCTACGCACACGGAGCCCAGACGCTCCACTCCCTCCCCCTCCACCTCCTCCACCCCTTCCACCACCTCCGCCCCCTCCACCCCTTCCACCCCCTCCACCGCCTCCGCCTCCTCAACGCCACGGGCGGGGAGGAGGTAGCGCCGCCGCTCAGTGCCGAACTCGGCAAACGGCCTGGGACGGTGACAAGGGGTGCGGGCGACGGTGTTGTTAAGTCTACGTGGTGGTGGTGTGTCTATGGGTAGTGTCGAGTCTATGGGTAGCAGTGTTGAGTCTATGGGTAGTGTTGAGTCTATGGGTAGCAGTGTTGAGTCTATGGGTAGCAGTGTTGAGTCCATGGGTAGTGTTGAGTCTATTGGCAGTGTTGAGTCTATGGGTATCAGTGTTGAGTCTATGGGTAGTGTTGAGTCTATGGGTAGCAGTGTTGAGTCTATGGGCAGTGTTGAGTCTATGGGCGGTGTTGTGTCTATGAGAAGTGTTAAGTCTATGGGTGGTGCTGAGTCTATGGGTAGTGTCGAGTCTCTGGGTAGCAGTGTTGAGTCTATGGGTAGTGTTGAGTCTATGGGTAGTGTTGAGTCTATGGGTAATATACTAACAGGGTTTCCCCTTTTTTCTGGCAACAAAACTGACACCTTTTGCAAGGAACCATGTTTACATTAACCACAATACTTGCAGTCGTATGCAAACAAAAAACAATACTCTGATAATGTATGCATTGTCCTTGAAACTGAATGGTCCACACCAGAGACAGCTTTTCTTAGAGCCTAATCTCATGTGGTGTTCGACCAGATGACGCCAAAAGGCGCACAGTTCAAAAACAACGCACTATCAGAGTAATGAGCTCGGGGTAAGCATCTACATCATGAGGCCTCCTTTGCCAGTTATTTATAAATGTGTCGTAACCCTCCACCACCCGACACGGCTAATCAGCAAAAAAAGTGTCACGTTGACAAAAGACAAATAATTCACTACTTTAGCCCACCGGTGTGTTGAAGAGTGAATCCACAACATTTACAGTTTGAGTACGACGTTTCGCTGGTAAATACATCCAGCATCATCGGGCAATTCGCCAGAATGGTAAAGCCCTCGCTTGCTCCCGATTTTATATAGAGCAGCAGGGTGACGTCATCATTTAACTCATATCAGGTGCAGTGATTAGAGGCAGAAGGGGGGGGTATTGTAATTATATAATCGATTAGTAATCAGTCATTGGTTATGATTAGTAATGAGTTGTAGATTAGTAATTAGTTGTAATGTGTGTTAGTGATTATATGCTATGTTAGTAATCCGTTAATTAGTATGTGTTTCCCCTATAAGGAATTGTAATATGCATTCATATTCTTAGCTTCCTCGGCAAAGCCACGCCGAAGGGAAACAACAAACATAGATATTCTATTATTTTATTGCTTCCCCCCCAACGTGACTGCACCGAATGAGCCAAGAACATGAATCACTGCAGTCACGAAAGCTTTAAATCAAAATGTAATGTGTATTATTTAATAATACGCTTCCAGGCCGCACTAAGCCTGTAGCTGTCAGAGCGATTAAAGTTATTCTTGTTCCTCTCAATTTCAATGGATTCTCTAATTAGTCTTTGCCAGTAATAATTAGTTTTACACACCACTGCAACATTGTCAAAATCAATTGAGTGTCCTTGTTGACAAGCATGTTCTGCCACTGCCGACAGTTGTGTTTGAGATAATTTAATATTTCTCTGATGTTCTTTTAGTCTTACGCTGATGTTATGTCCCGTCTGTCCAATATAGCATCTGCCACATAAACAATTAATCCGATATACACCTTCTGTTGATAATTTAGGTAATGCGTCTTTAGTGCAAAATACTAGTTTTTGAATTTTGTGTACTGTACCAAATCTTACTGTAATGTTTTGCTTTTGCAAAACGTGGGCTAATTTGTCAGTTACTCCTGAGATATATGGAATTTTTATTGTTTTAACAATCTGGTCGCTTTCAGCAGTATTGCTTTGCGATCGTGATTTGGCATTCAGTGCTCTGTTAATTTGAGCATTATTGTAGCCATTCTGTCATAGTGCGTCTTTAACGTGTTTAATCTCTCTCACTAGACTCTCACCATCTGACACTGTTTTAGCCCGATGTACGAGCGTCTTGATAAGAGAGGATTTCTGAGCTGGATGATGATGTGATTCTGCATTCAGATAGGCATCAGTGTGCGTTTGCTTTCTGTAAACGCTGTGTTATTTTACCGTTTAGGCCATGTCCAAGCAAAATATCTAGGAATGGGAGTGTGTTATTCACCTCCATTTCCATGGTGAACTGGATGGCTGGGTTTTGTGCATTGAGATGATTTAGAAAATCATTAAGTGTATCTTTACCATGTGGCCAGACAACCAAAGTGTCATCCACATATCTAAACCAAAAGGATGGTTTTAATGTGCACGAGGCAAGTGCTCTTATTTCAAAGTTTTCCATGTACAAATTTGCTATAGCAGGGGATAAAGGAGAACCCATTGCTGCTCCTTCCTTTTGTTTAAAGAAATCCCCTCTCCATAAGAAGTAAGTGTTATTTAAACAATGGCCAGCAAGTTTCGGAATATCTTTTGGTAAACCAGTATTCTTTACTAGTGTATCAAGTAATTTAAGCGATTCGTCCACTGGAACCTTAGTGAATAGAGAAATCACATCAAAACTTACCAGAATATCATCAGGAGTAAGTTTAATATCTTTAATCACATTCACAAGATGTTCTGAATTTGGGTAGTGTTGAGTCTATGGATAGCAGTGTGGAGGCTATGGGTAGTGTTGAGCCTATGGATAGCAGTGTTGAGTCTATGGGGCGGTGCCGAGGTCACCTGAGATGCGCCCTCTCCACCAGCTCGTCAACGCTGCCTACCGCCGCGCCCACACCCAGCACGGCCGCCACCCGCTCCACGATCTCCGCCTCGCACTCCGTCTCCACGTAGCGCTGCACCAGCCGGTCCTCCGCAGGGGAGGAGGTCTGGGCGGAGGAGGATGTCACGGTGGAGGTGTATGTCACGGTGGAGATGTATGTCATGGTGGAGGTGGTGGAGGAGGTGGAGGATGTCACGGTGGAGGTGGAGGAGGTGGGGGATGTGACGGTGGAGGTAGAGGTGGGGGATGTCACGGTGGAGGTGGAGGATGTCACGGTGGAGGTAGTGGGGGAGGCCGTGGTGGAGACTTTGGCCTCCATCTCCTCCTGGGGGAGGGAGGCGGCCCGCCAGTCCGGCCGTGCGACGCCACCGCCCCCGGCGTGGCAACTCTGACCGCAGGTACCTCAACCACCGTGGATACCTCCACCACCGTGGATACCTCCCTAACTGTGGGTACCTCTTCAACAGCGGGCACCCTCACCGTGATCACCGCCCCGCCCACGGGGTACTTGAGCTGCCAGACGGAGTCCCTGCGGCGGAGCCAGAGGTCGGCCAGGGCCAGCGCGAGGCTCCCGTCCACGTCGTGGTCCACCACGTCGTGACCCACCACGTCGTGGTAGACGTCGCGGAATCGCCACTCCGCCAGCAGGCGCCCGCCGGCGGCCAACAGCAGCTCCTCCGTGCGCTCGCCCAGCAAGAACTTCTGCTCCACCTCCACCACACGCGACATCGCGGGGGGATGCTCTGTGGGGGGGGGGAGAGCACCCCACCGATACCGGTATTAGTGGCGTCCGTATCAAGTACGAACGGTTTCGAAAAGTCAGGGTAACTCAAGGGTGGTGCTTTCACCAAGGCATCGCGCAGCGCATCGAACGCAGACAGTTCAACCTCCCCACAGTGAAATTTTACACCTTTTGCCATCAGGGCATGGAGGGACTTAGCAATGGAAACGACGATAGGAGGTTGGAGTCGGCCACGAGCTAACACTCTTGGTTTTGTCAGGGTCAGTGGAAATGCCCGAACAGCTGATGATATGCCCCAGATACCGCACAGACTCACGTAAAAGGTGACACTTTTGAGGCTTGAATTTCAAGTTTGCGGCGCTCATTTTCAAGAAGATAGCCCGCCACCGTTCAATGTGTTCGTCGAACGTGCAGCTGAAGGGGGAAGGAAAGGGTGGGGGGGGAGGGGAGGTGGGAAGGAGAAGGTGGGGGTACAGTGAAGGGGTGTGGGATACAGTGCGTGGTAGTGAGGGGTGTGGGGGGCACAGTGCCGGGGTGGGGTAGTGTGGTACAGTGCGTTAAACAGTGCGTGGTACAGTGCATGGTACCTCCACGCGGTGCCGGACGGCAACACTGTGGTGGGCAGTGCCATGGGGGGAGGGCCACCTTAGATCGGCCATTCCCCTCATTGCGTCTGTAGCCACCGCAGTGGCCAAATGGGGGCTCTGGATGGGTGCGAGGGGCTAGTAACCCCTCCACCTTCATCTAATTACCGCTGAACCACGTCGGAAAAATTCCGATGATCCGGTAATTGCTGCTCACTCAGAGGAGGAGTTGGAGGCGCTGCTGCTGAACCTGGAGATTGCCACTAAGAGGTGGGGCATTACCATCAGCCCCACCAAAACGAAGCACCTGCCTGGGTATTTTGTACCATCAGACACTCCACCCCCACAACTCACAATTGGTGATGGAGTAGTTGTGGAGAGAGTGGAGAGTTTCCCATACCTGGGCAGTGTGCTCATGACTGGCTCCGGTTTGACAGCAGAGGTCGCACTCCGAATCATCCGAGCGGCATTATCTTTTCATCGGTTGCGTAAAGCTGTGTGGAAGCTCCCTTGTCTGTCGCTCCGCACGAAGCTTCAGGTCTTCTTGGCAAGTCATTCCCTCCCTTCTCTACGCTTGCGAAACGTGGACCCCCTAATGGAACATCTTCGCCAGTTAGAAACATTTAGGCTGGTTTGCCTACGATTCATCCTGGGTTTAACCTGCAGGCTGGATTGTGTGAGGAGCTCACAAATCCTTGAAAGATCTGGAGAAAGTCCCATCGGTGAGCTCCTCCGGCAGGCAAGGCTGCGTTGGCTGGGTCATGTAGCCCGCATGCCCAGCCACCGCATGCCGAAACAGCTTTTGTTTGGTCGGATAAAAGGGGCGAAACGGGCGCGGCACGGGCAAGAGAAAAAATGGAGTGATGTGGTACAGGAGGACGTGGAGCTGAGTGGACTTGCCGATGACTGGTACCAGCGGTGTCAAGATCGGCCTCAGTGGAGGAGGCTCGTGAATGACGCTGCTACTGGGAGGGCGGAGGAGCGACGCTCACAACAAAGAGCGGAGCATGGGGTGACTAAAGCGCAGCGAGTTGGCACAGTAGGCGGCACAGGTGGTGCATCATCCACTCATCTCAGTCAGTCGACCCGTGGCATCTGCTGGGTCTGCCCCGTGACCTCCTGCCAGCGAGCGTTCGACACTTCACGTGGCCTCAAGGTGCACATAGACTGGCACTAGCGCCGTGATGTCACCGACACTTAGTGGCGAATGGCGGTTGTTGTTGTTGGTACAGTGACGAGGGGGCACAGAGTGAGGCAGTGGAGTGTTGAGTGAAGGAATCCGAAGAGATGAGAAGCCCATCGTCACGCCGGAGGCGGTGACGATGATGCTGCACCCACTGTACAAATCTATAAATCATCATCACCATCACCACCATCATCATCATGATCATCACAATCACCACCACCACTCACGACTCACCACCACAGGCCTCGAAGAGCAGGGACTCGAATCGAAATCGATTCAAGGATCGTGAATCCAACTGAATCGTCCAGATTTGATAGCGCATCGATTCCCGAATCGTGGATCTAGAGTGAATTGTAAGGATTCGATAGTGGATCGATTTCCGGATCGTAGACCTACCGTTAATCGTACGGATTCGATAGTAGGTCGTTTCCTTGATGGTGGTTCCAAGGGCGAATCGTAAAGATTCGATAGCTAATGGATTTCTGGATCGAAAATCGAGGTCGGTGATTGTAAAAAAGAAATCGATGGGAATCAGTTCATAAATCGGGGTCGTGATGCAGTCGTGAGAATCAACAGCAAGCGATTCATAGAACCAGGCGTTCGATGCAAAATCATTTGATTCAGCCGCAATCGATTCATTCATCTATAGTTAATTGATAGGAATCGATAGGAATTGAGTGGGTGGGCGAGTGAGTGGATGGGTGAGTGGGTTTGTGGGTGAGTGGATGGGTGGGTGGGTGAGTTAGTGAGTGATTGAGTGAGTGGGTGCGTGAGTGAGTGGGTGGGTGAGTGATTGGGTGAGTGAGTGATTGGGTGGATGAGTGGGTGGGTGAGTGGGTGAGTGTGTGAGTGGGTGGGTGAGTGAGTGGGTAGGTGAGTAGGTGGGTGATTTAGTAGGTTGGTGAGTGGGTGGGTGAGTGAGACAGGCTAGAGAAGAGATGGAGTGACGTGGTACAGGAGGACGTGGAGCTGAGTGGACTTGCCGATGACCGGTACCAGCGGTGTCAAGATCGGCCTCTGTGGAGGAGGCTCGTGAAGGACGCTGCTGGGCAGTTGGAGGTAGTCGCCCTCCAACAACAACGGAGGGCGGAGGAACGACGCTCACAACAACGAGCGGAGCGCCGGGTGGCTAAAGCACAGCAAGTTGGCACAGTAGGGGGCACAGGTGGTGCATTAGCCAGTCATCTCAGTCAGTCGACCCGTGGCACCTGCTGGATCTGCCCCGTGACCTCCTGGTGCACCTAGCCTGGCACAGACGTCTCTGAGTATGAGTCTCTGTGGGTGTGTATGGGTCTCTGTGGGTCTCTACGTATCTCTAAATATATCTATCTCTATGTATCTCTGTGTCTCTATGTATCTCTATGTGTCTCCATTTATCTGTATGAGTGTCTATGCATCTCTACGTATCTCTATATATCTGTAGTGGGTTGAATCACCATAAGGGAACTTCTCTGAGGCAACACAGTTTTATTTAACACTTAACACAGAGGGGTAACGGCCCCTCACACCCAATACACTATGGAGTTTTACTCTCCAATCTAATACGCCTCTCACTGGTTAATCTACAAGTCCTCTGTGAGTGAAGCGTGAGTCTTCACTGGTATATAAGCTGGAGCCGACCCTTGCAGGGGTACGGCTCTGCCCTTGGGGCTCTTCAGTCTTCAGGAGGCTTCTTGTCTTCAGCCGGACGACGACTACCCGGCCCTGTTCAGAGGTTCTGCTTTTATACAAGTCCGTGGCTTGCTCCGCCCTGGCCACGCCTTCCTTCCAGAACCTTCCATCGGAGGGTGACATCATCCCCCAGCCCCCTCCTGGGGTCTGGGGTCTTTTAGTTCCTGGATCCGTTATCCCAGGATTTGCCGTTGGCCCCTCGGGCCATAGTCCTTTAACATTGGGCTTAGCCACTCTTCCGCCCCCTATTGACATGTGAGGGATGCTACCAGCTGACAGCATGGGGAGTGCACAATAATACCTCTCCATCACCCCCCCCCCACCCCTGCGTACCACACAGCCATCCCGGCTGTCGATAACCTCAAAATAGTTCAATTGTGAATAAAATAGAACACGTGTGCCTAGTAACTAACAACACAACAATAACGACATATATACCCCAACCCCCTGTACAAATTTACACTATAGACATATATACAAAGCGCACGGCCAACCGCACAACCCGCGGCCAAGCACCCGCCACTCGTGGAAAAAAAACGTGACCGACCAACGACAGAGAACGGCAATGGTCACTGGTTAAGGTGACCCGGTGGCGCGAGAGCAGGTGGGTTGTGTGGTGCGTGTGTGTGTGGAGAGTGCGAACGGAGTTATGAAAAACTAAGAGTCTTCGTGCGCGTCGTAGGGAACAGGGCTTCGTAGGTGGCGCAGATGCGACGGGCCCTTCAGGGGGCACGTCCGGCAGGCCATTTGGCCGCCCGTTGGCAGGAGCAGCCGGCGTGAACTGGCCCTGGCCCGTCACTCCCGCATTGTCTGGAGGAGCAACAACACGACGTCGCTGAGAGCTCGGCTTCACGGACGCATCACCTGTCACAAGCTCGGCCCCCGCGGTGTGTAGGTGATGCAGGAGTGCGCGGCACGACGAAGGGCTTCAGGCGTGAGGGGTGGACGAACCAACATTGTCTGCACCATCTGACAGTGACGCATTTAATGTTTCATTTATTAGGTATAGCCCTGTGAGCAACCGCAACAAACTAAATATGAACAGAGAACATCTTAAAGCGACGATGTGCAAAAGAAACATCCTGGATAAACCAGCAAATCTTCCAGAAAAAAACCCACCATATTACAACGCAGTGTGCAAAAATCTCAGTGTGATGCAAGTCAAACAATAACAACCATAAGACAATTTAGATTAAAGTTATCAGGCCAACTCCGCACTTCCGCAAGAAACATGGCTTAACCATATGTTTTCAAAATCACCAAAATAAAGCTATAAAGTACAATGTAACAACAGTAATCACAGGAACTTTGATTCAAATTTAACAATAAACGATATACATAACATGTACTACCAAACTTGCAGCCATATCTGGCAGCATGACACTCCCAGTGTATGATGTGTGAGTGAGTCAGCCTCCTCCACGCCATTGCGGCCTCCTCCATGGCCTCCACGTGTGGAGGAGGCCGCGACCTGTACAGTGGACAACTTGTACGATGTCGACGGGGCCCTTCCAGGGTTTGAGCATTTCAGGCGATGTAGACAAAGGCACCTGGGGGCAATGTAGCCAGGCCTTGTCCCCCGTGGCCCACGCATGTGTGGATGAGTTGGAGTTGCGCAGTCGCTCATTAGCACTCTGGCGAGAACCCGAATTCACAATGGAGGCCTCACGTGCCACAGCCAATATTCAGATGTTAAAACGCAAGTGGTCCACGATCTTGGGCAAATCAACGTGCAGCTGAACATGCACAGGGGGGTCTGCATCCCTACCGTACATCAGAAAGAAGGGTAAAAATCCGGTCACAGCGTGAGGAGCCATTCTATATGCGGCTAGGACCCCGGGGATCTGGAGATTCCAGTCGAGCTGGGAATCACTAACCTGGTGGCACAACATTGATGTGAGCGTCCTGTGAAGACGCTCCACCATACCATCAGACTGCGGGTGCTATGACGAAGTACAGACTTTTTTTGTACCCAAAAGTTTGCACACATCGCATAACAGGGTGCTCAAAAATGTTTTCCCTTGATCGGTCAACAGCCGTTCAGGAGCACCTTTGTCCATGACGTAGCCCTGGAACAAAGGCCTCAGTGAAATACACCACCCCAACCAGCAGGTACTTGTCACCCTTAGGAGTGGTAGGCAAGGGCCCCCAAATGTCCAGAGCCACCAACTTGTTGACGCGAGACACCTTGATGGATTGTAATTGTGGGCAACATGGCTTTGCCGTTGGCTTCCGCCGAGCTCACTGGGTGCAGCCCTTCAGGAGGTTGGACATGTCCCGCAGCATGCCCGTCCAGAAGAAGTTAAGTTGGAGCAACCCGAGGGTCTTGTGTACCCCCAGATGCAACAGGTGCTCGTGCGCCGCCCAAACAGCTCTACCACGCAAGGCAGAGGGCATGAGTCACTGCCCCACTGCATAAGGAGACCCTCGCGCAGGACGAGAGACGCAAATCGACCCCTAACATTAGCCGAATTTTCGGCGCGATGCCGTAAGGCAAGTAGGACACGTCCTCTATCTGGTGGCGACCCCAATCGGCAATGGTCAGGTCTAACAAGTGATCCCGACCTGCTGGGTCGACGGGATCCTCCGAGGGACTCTGGTTAGAGGGGAGCACATCTGCCACAGCTGTGAGGGGCGGAACTGGGCCAACCCCTGGCAAACCGCCAGAACCAAGAAAGCAAGCGCACCTGTTGGCAAATGGGAGACGCGACAGTGCATCGGCGTTGGTATGTCGGGTGCCCTTGCAGTAGGTGATGGTGGAATCATAGTCCTGGAGAACCTCGAGCCACCTCGAAAGTTGATCTGATGGCTAGTCGACACGCAAGGCATATTGCAACGGTGAGTGGTCCGATCTAACGGTGAAGTGCCTGCCCTACAAATATGGCCAATATTGTTGAATGAAAAAGACGATGGCCAATAACTTGCGGCGAGTCACGCAGTAGCGTTGTTCCGCTGGAGACAACACGCTGCTGCCATACGTAATCACCCATTCGACACCACTGATTACCTGGGAGAGCACCCCACCGATACCGGTATTGCTGGCGTCCGTATCAAGTACGAACGGTTTCGAAAAGTCAGGGTAACTCAAGGGTGGTGCTTTCACCAGGGCATCGCGCAGCGCATCGAACGCAGACAGTTCAACCTCCCCACAGTGAAATTTTACACCTTTTGCCATCAGGGCATGGAGGGGCTTAGCAATGGAAACGACGATAGGAGGTTGGAGTCGGCCACGAGCTAACGCTCTTGGTTTTGTCAGGGTCAGTGGAAATGCCCGAACAGCTGATGATATGCCCCAGATACCACACAGACTCACGTAAAAGGTGACACTTTTGAGGCTTGAATTTCAAGTTTGCGGCGCTCATTTTCAAGAAGATAGCCCGCCACCGTTCAATGTGTTCGTCGAACGTGCAGCTGAAGATGACGACATCGTCTAAGTAAATCAAGCACGAGTCCCACTGGAGCCCAGCGAGGACAAGCTCCATGAGCCGCTGGAATATCGCTGGGGCTGAGTAGAGCCCCATAGGCAACCTATTAAACTAAAAAAGTCCTTGAGGCATTCGAAAGGCCGTTTTTGGTTTTGAAACATCGTCGAGAGGAAGTTGCCAGAACCCCGACAACAGGTCCACTGTGGAGAAATAACGAGCCCCTGCCAATGCGTCTAATGACTCATCCATACGTGGGAGTGGGTAAGCATCGGCCACATATATTTTGTTTAAACGGCGAAAGTCAACACAGAATCTTAAGGTGCTGTGGTGCTTTTTCACGAGCACAATGGGAGCTCCCCAGGGGCTGGTCGAAGGAGAGATTGTATCCATGGCTAGCATGCTCCTTTTCGGCCGGGCTAAGCCAAAACGGGTTCTGGCGGCTCAGAGCAGTGTCACCAGTATCAATATGGTGACGCAACAATTTAGTGCATCCAACATAAAATTTACTTTTACGGAAAACGTCATCAAATTCTCGCAAGAGTGTGCGCAACCTTGCCCGCTGTGATCCAGACAATTTTCCAGCCCCCGCGCATAGCGAGTCCAACCATCCATCATCCAGGTCCAAGCGCGGTTGTGACGAGGACCGGTACTGACATGGCTGACGACCGGGTTTCCCAGGGGCGCCCGCGTCGCATGAGCGAGCACAGTCCTCTGGGGAACAACGGTCGGACACAACCCGGCATTCAGGACCTGGATGAACGGGTCCTTGTCACTCGCTACGAGAGTCTGTGCGGCTACGAGTTCGAGGCCCCTAATCGCGGTATTAGACAGCCCCAACAAAACACCATTTGCCGACGCCTCCAGGTCAAGAAGTTTCCGTAAACAAAGGAGCACTAGTATCTCCGCGCCCAGGGGAATCCGCACCGTGCGGGCGGCCAGTGCTTGCACCAAGGTGCAGGCCGTGCGCAACGGCGTGAGGGAAGGCAGGAATGCCATACATCGACCGGAGGGAAGCTCAATACATCCCTGGTCAATGAGGATGCGGATAGGCATTCTGGCAAGAAAATCTGTCCCTAGTAGACAAGGTACGGCGAGGGACGAAGAGACCAAAATCGAAATTTGTGGAAGAATTTGTCCAATTATTCCGAGTGAGTCCCGATTAGCAGCGAAGCATGGGACAGAAACCGGGTGCAGGGAGAGACACCGAACGGGCAGAATGTTGTATATTAGGTCAGAAATAATGGGAGCCGACGCACAAGTTCAACGGCCTCGATCGAACCCATAACAACAGAGGATCCCGTGGCCACGGCGACAACCCTATGGGCCAGCTCAGACCACTGACCAGGTTGGAGCTCCCTGCTAGAAATACAACAGTCCCGTTCGCCGGTGCCCGCTACCCGGTGAACACGCGGCGCGGCACAGTGAGGTGTGCGAGGTGAGTGCGGTGGCCAAGCAAGTGAGGTGCCGCGACTCGCCTGGGTATGACGTGAAGCCGTGGGCGCCCGAGGATCCGATGGCTTGGTCGGTTGGAGGGTCATCAGGCATGCAGGAAGGCACCTCGTCGACGCGCAGGCGGCGATGCTCGACTCCCGGTGGAGCAGATGTGCGTGGATGCTCTTGGCGGCGCGCAGTGAACACGTTATCGTCAACTTCACTGGGTGAAGTTCACGTGTGGTGGTGTTTGTTGTGGTGGTTGTGGTTGTTGTTGTGATGGTTCATGTGGTGGTGATTGTGGTGATGGTTGTTGTGGTGGTTGTTGTAGTGGTGGTTGTTGTGGTGTTTGTGGTTGTGATTGTTGTGGTGGTTGTTGTGGTGGTTGTGGTGATTGTGGTGATTGTGGTTGTGGTGGTTGTGGTGGTTGTTATGGGTCTTGTGGTTGTTGTGGTGGTGATTGTTGTTGTGGTGGTTGTTGTTGCTGCTCTACCGCCTTCTCCTGGTGAGCACCAGGGCCACGTGGCACTTCGTCGACTCGCCCAGCAGCATGAGTGGTGATCCACCAACCCCCCCCCCCCCCCCCCCCCACAGTGCTGGGTCACAGCGAGGCTGCAGGTTGCCCCTCAGTGCCTCTGTTTGTTTTTGTTGTCACCAACGCGGGACTCCCCCAGTGGCGGGAATCCAGAATGTCAGAATCTGTTGTAGTGCAGGAGGAATCCGATGAGCTGTGAAGCTCTTTGTGTTCACAGATGGTGCAGTGGTGAGGGGCGGGCGTGGGGGGAGAGGGGTGACGTGACCACGTTGGAGATTCGTGCGTGGTGATGTCACCGCGTTGTGAGATCTCGCGTGGTGACGTCATCACGTCCATGACGCAGCAGCAGACAACTGGAACAGCTCGGACACTGTTGGCACCTTTTGTGTTTGGCGCCGTCTCTTTATCTGTTTATTAATTTGTAGATTTAATTTGCTTGGCAGTGGCTGTGTAGAGGATTTGGGCCTCGTGTTTAATTAATGAACAGCGTTGTGGGATACAGTGGGCACGAATGACGCTGTACACAACTACATTGTTGTTGCGTTCTGTATATTTATTTTAGAATCGACGATGCAAGCGTCAGAATGCAACTGTCGTACGTGTACATTTATACTTCTTAAAATCAATATTATTGTTGTATCTCTCCCACAACCCATGACACCACCAGTGCATAAACACATCCCAGTTCACCATTGCTAATTACTACACCCCTACACTACAGTCACGCTGCTCTGGCAGGGTGAATACATCCACGTTAGCCTCACACACACACAGAGCAGTACTTATTTTATCACCCCCCCCCCCCCCCCCCCCCATGAAGGCTCTGAGGATTGTTTCCGCTCAGCGCCCCCCGTTGTGATGGAGAGCCACGCAGCCCCTAGCCACCGACAGCCACCAGCCAGTCACGGGCGTGGCGCTGCGCGTGACGGTGACGAGGGTGGCGAGCGCCGTGCGTCGTGGCGTCTGCCCTCTGCGCTGTTCACGTTCACCTGTCTCAGGACGCACCACACAGATCCACAATCCTCACTGAGTCACCAACTTTACACCCCACCAGCAGCCCAGGATATAGGGAATTTGTGAAGGCTTGGTGAAACGAGTACAGCAGTGCCATCGAGTCAGCGCTGTAAAACGATAGCAGCCCCGCGTCCCAGTCCAGATGAACCCCGACTCTCCGCGGAGGCTCCGGCACCGATAGTGAGGTCTCTACCCCGCCATGCCGCACTGAGAAGCTTTTACCAGCTTTCTGTAGACACCAGGAGACGTCACTCCCCCCCAGGCCACAATCAGCACCACGCCCTCTCCGTGGGATCTTCCCGTACGCAACTCCAATCCAACACAGCCCCGCGCTCCCCACGTCCACCTCCCAGTAGTGCTGACCCGATGAGAAGCTCTCAGAGCACAGGGCTTGTGACCAGCAATCAAAGCGGTGTGGGTGATGGGGGCGACCCTGGGAGACATCGCCCACCGTCACCGTCCTGAGATCCGAGGAAATCTGGAAGCGGTTGTAGGCTGAGTTTGTGTCCAGAGTTGGTGAGCATCCATCTGTGGTGAGGACAGCGATGACGCCCGCACAGCGGTCACGGCGATGCGTGCGCAGTAGCGGCACAAGCAGTTCACGTAGCGTGTATACAAACACACGCACGCTGCGTGTTGTGTTCTGTTGTGTTGTAGTCATACTGCAGTACGTGATACATTTGTAGTGACATCGCAAGATGTCACTGTGTAATGCCGGCCCTAGAGAGGCATGGCGTGCGGTGTATTGACATTGCGGATACCAGTAGGGTGTGGGTGTAGTACTGGCCCTAGAGGGGCTCGGTCAGCGCTGATTGATAGCGCTGGATGGCATCACGCTTAGCGCGCAGTGCCAGCCCTACAGGGCAGGGTGTGGGAGTGCCGGCCGTTGGAAAGAGGTTATGAAAGGCCATGGCACTCTGGTTGACCCGAGAGGACACGTACCGGTTAAGTCTTCAAAGGGCCCCCAAGTGGGGGCTAGGGGTAGTCACGTGGTCGGGGGCCAGATCCTGCTCGAGGATTCTGGAAGGTGGTCGTGGCCAAAGGTGGAGCCAGCCACATCACAGAGAATATAAGCCAGGTTCCCAGAGGGACCGGCGTTGTTGTTCATCCTGAAGAAACCTTCGTCTACGTTCTACAGAGTCTCCAACACGTGGAATGGACCCAAGCTGTGGCCCGGTCCGTAGTAGCAGTTACGTTAGCCTGGTGGTCACCACCAGGTTAACTATACTAGTTACGTTGTAATTAGTGTAGTTAGCCTGGTGGTCACCACCTGGCTAACTATACTAGTTATGTTGTAATCAGTGCAGTTAGTCTGGTGGTCACCACCAGGTTAACTACACTAGTTACATTGTAATCAGTGTAGTTAGCCTGGTGGTCACCACCAGGTTAACTACACTAGTTACATTGTAATCAGTGTAGTTAGCCTGGTGGTCACCACCATAGGTTGTTATTCTGTTAAGGGGCAGTTATCCTGTGTGTTGGTGTTAAATAAATGTGTTGCCTCCAAAGAGTACGTCTGCAACTCAGTTGACTCCACTACACATTGAAACGTAACACAATGATCATCACATGTATAACAAATGCACACAGGACTAATATTTGTGTACACATACAAGTATTCATTAAAATGTATGTACACTTGCTGGTTATCTTTATTATTTGTGTTCACATACTGCCATTTGTTATTATTTGTGTACACATACAAATATTCTCGTGCATTTGTGTACACATACTAATACTCATTAGTACCCTTGCTCGTATACAAATACTATTATTCTATAGGACACATACTAGCAAACGAATACTATAGTACACATACTCGTATGCTAATACTAGTATGTGCACTATAGAATAATAGTACTACACTAATATGACCATGGGTGTGTGTGCAGTGGTAATGAACAGTGGTGATGATGCCAGCACCACGATGTTAACGTCACTCTCACAGCGTCTATATACAAACAAGACGCCTGTACAACAGCCACCACAGCCTCGCACACTCACATCCATGTACAGACATTTGATGGTCGGGATCGTGGACGTAGCGTAGAGGTAAAGTACAACAATGGTTATGCTGCACTGCCTTCTGCTTCCCACTCTGTCACAACAGTTGAAAGTGTTAATCTAAGAAAATAAATGTTGATGCCCGAAGCTCTCCGGGTCCTCCGGTTTTTCCCTCCACATTTAGGAAGGCGTGTTTAGACTATTTGGCTGCTACTATAAATGTCCACGTGATGATGATATCGCCCACGTAGTCAAGCTATAGCTCAGTGAGTCCCTGCACCTGGTAAAATAAAAATACGTTCAATGGAGAGGTCAGAGAGCCCCGCAGCCTATAGCACCTGCTATGCACGGTGGTCACCCATCTCAGCACTAGCCCGGCTCAACGCTGCTTAGACAGGAATCGACCCCATGATGTGCAGTACGTTAACCACCGTCCCACCACTCAATTAGTGTGTACACAACACCACTTATACTGGAATGTGTACATTACCATCTGGGTATATAAGTGCAATGTGTAAGAGCCATAAGACAGAAAGTGAGTATTATTTATGTATATAGATTTTATATACATCCGTCATACATTTGTTGACGGACTGGTTCTATTTGATTTGGAATATCCCAACTGTGTAGAAACCCCCCTGTGGCTAGACGCTCCGTTGGTTGAACCCATGACGTCACTTCCGGTTTTTACAGTATAAACGGGGGGCTACGAGAAGAGCCGATGGGGAGCGAGTGGATACAGTCTTTTGACCGTGTGACGGGGTGATACAGTACGTGAACAGGCGATGATATAACTTTAGAAAACGCTCGTTTTTGTGCAACTAAGAAATAAAGAAACAGTTTGATTTAAGACACCTCAAACACGCGTCAGGCTTTTTTGCTCCCCCAAGTTAAGGCGTAGCTTATTTTTTGGTTCAGGAAAGCTGCACCTACACACTGACTAGTCATGCATACTCTTAATGAGTGAGGGAGTTGATGAGTGAGTGGGTAAGTGGATGCGTGGGTGAGTCAGTGAGTGTGTGGGTTAGTAGGTGAGTGAGGGTGGGTTAGTGGTGGTGTAAGTGTGGGTGAGATGGTGATTGAGTGGGTAAGTGGGTGATTGAGAGCGTAAGAGGTGAGTGAGTGGGTAAGTGGGTGAATGAGTGAGTGGATGATGGTGTAAGTGGTGTGTAAAGTGTGATTGGGTGAGTTGGTGGGTTAATTGGTGGGCAAGTGAGTGGGTAAATGAGTTGGTGATTGAGAGAGTGATTGTTTTGTCCGAGAAGTGTTTTGACTGCTGCTGTGTCCTTCTGTCTGCATGCTGCACTTCTTTCAGACTGTACGTAACTAACTGCATGAATCGGAGCTGCGGGGGAAGGACAACAAACAAACACAACAACAAGTAGTTCTAAAGAAATTAGTTTTCAATCCAGATAACTAACTGCTACACTACCACTCAAAATGCGCAAACCGACATACTCACACAATCAAACACACACGTAACAAAGAAAACGGCACAATGAGACACACACACAGTCAGGAAAACACAAAGATAAACGCACACAAAGACAAACCAACACAGAAACACACAGTCGGACAAAAACACATACAGTCAGACAAACAATCAGACAAACACACAGACACATGACAAAGATCTCCCGCATACCCTGTAACAGATTGAGGGAAGTGTTGTTAGCGAGCACTTATGAAGGCCAGCATGGTACACGAGGGGGTGGGTGGCCAGCACCACGCCCGGCCGCCCTTGTCTCCCTCGTGGTGATCTTTACACATTGCACCAGGTACTCATTTCAGGCCGAGTCGACTTCAGGGGAGGCCCAGGTACGGTTTAGATAAGCGTCACTGGTCTTGGCCATGAGTGTAGCACAGAGCGCTAACCACTACACTACCACTCCCTACAGCCAGACACACCCACACAATCAGACACACAGGCAAACACACACACAGTCTGACACAAACACAGTCAATCATACGCCATTCATCTCTTGTCATGAGACTACCATCCCGTGGCCTGCAAGGTCTATGGCACTTACGCATGAACGCCAGCAGCTTGACCACAGTTCCCTCCAGGGCTCTGATCACGGTGGTGCTGTCGTGGCTGGGAGCTGAGGTTGAAGCTCCCCTCTGCTTGCCTCTGATGTGAAACCAGGATAATCACAGGGCGCCAGAAGAGTGACAGTCATTGCCTCACACACAGTCAGTACACAGCCAGTATCTCATACAGCATGATCATTACACACATTATAATCACAACCACAAACAATCAGTATACACAGCATCATCATCATACAGTCAGTACACACAGAGCAGTGTTTTGCACAGCACTATGCCCTGTACCTCCAGTTATTGTGGTTGGCTACGTTCGGTGCAAAAGAAGTTCAATATATGTACATAAATCACGTACATACATCACATACATCACGTCGAAAGCCATGTGGGGCCAGGCGTTCTCACCTGAGCGTCTCCTTCATGTGAACCTGCAGGAGACAAGAGACGGGAGCTGTGAGCCACTTCATTTGCAGTCACACGACCGTATCGTGTCGCAGGGTGGAGAACGTGATGATTGGTAGGCAAGCCCCGCTTTGGCTGCATCGAGTCATGATGGCAGTCGCGTTTAAACAAAAAAAGCCACGTGCAATTTTGTCTTCAAGGAGTCTCAACAAGAGGGCTTAGCCCCTTAAACCATTGCCACTGTGACACGAGGTTACGAGCAACCGCCATCCATGAACACAACCATGCCCAATCATTGGTACGCTCTCCATGCATCCATTGCAATGCTTGAACATCTTTGAAGTTAGACGAATTATCGATGACAAATAAAAGTAATAAAACATTTGAAAAAAACAAATATTATTGTAATATTTTGTGATAAAAATACAATATAAAACATATCGCAACACATGCATCTCCCTCTATTGTACAAAGTTCTGTGCTGCATGTTTTCATGCTAGGAATTGACATGGATCAAAGGCTTAAGTTTGAATTGAGAGCGTCTCCCATATATTCATGCATACTTATCAATTATTCATGAGCACCCTCCTCCCCCACCAGGTCTGTTAGCCTTTTCACAGTACTACTTCTATGAAACAGTCAATCTATGGAATACATATTCCATAGATAATTTTCAAGCTTGTTATTTAATGCGTGCAGGAGATGTTTACGATGCCTTGTGTTGTGTTTAATTCAGACTAGGAGCGTGCATCACGCGTGCGAGTCTTGCCAAGTAACACCATGGGACAAACGAAGCAACAAACAACCTCATCACCACCCGTCCCCACAGAGGTGCTCCCCACCTGCAGGAAGGTGAGCGAGTCCCTCTCGTGCTGCAAAATGCGCAGGTGAGCGGCCGCTGCCTGGAGCTCGCCGATCTCCCACTCGTGACGAGCGATATCCTCCTCGATCCGGGACAGCAGCTCACGCCCCTTCACCTCAACGCGACGTAGAGCCTCCCTCTCGTCCTCGTCGACTACCGCTCTCATGCGGGAGAAATGGTCTGAGATGCGAACCTTGGTCTTGGTAATGATATCCTGTAAGGATGTATGATTAGAGTTTTTTTCATGAATTAATTTACAAAGATTTTCATGCAACCTCTTGTACAGGAGGACTAGTGCAATCCATAGGGGTCACATCATTGCACATAATTTAAAAACAATCTGCAACAAGCGCATGGCTATGGCACATTTAAAATATGATGGATTTATTACAATTTCTCATTATGATTCACACACAGCCACATATATATCCAAAAATTAGCCATCTAAATATAATATAATGCATTACATGAATCTGTAACTATTTAGCTCAACGTGTATTTACAGGTTGCGTAAATATCTAAGAAACTATCCAGGTGAAAAAACATGTTCAATATGTATTCCGAATTCAAGACCAGCAGAGGCATGTAAGAAGTTGAAATATTCAGGAATCAAACATGCAATCTACTATAAAGTTGTCACACTAATTGTGTAGCCAACTGAAGGCGAGTCGAATCAGGGAAAGTCATCCTCACAAGAAGCATCACAGAGCCAAACCCGGACACAGTACCTGCACTTCCTTGCGAGTGGCCTCTATCCGCTTCACAGACTCCTCCACCTCCTTCCTCTTCTCCTCCACCGCTCGCGTCTCCTCCCCTACGCGCGTCTGTAGTGAGAGACGAGACGTCACCAGGGGGAGACTTCAGCCCCCCTGAGCCACCCCTCACACCGCCCTTCCCTCCACACCGACCCCTCCACAGCGAAGGCCCTCATCTCCTCAAGCTGATGCCTCGTTGTAGCAGCAGCCGGTGGGAGCCGTGCTGGCTTGGGTGTCCATACCGACTCGGAACCAAAGGCCCATGTGCCCACAGCTGTCTAGTTCAGAAGAGAAATCTAGAATAATTGTCTATCAAGTGGATGTGATATTAGTCTAAAATATATATATCCACTTAATTCCGTTACACAGGAGTTATGTTTCGCGAGAGCTGAGCATTCAATACATCCTGAGGCTGTTTCTTAAAACACCAATAAGGAAGATTGGCTACACAGGCAGAGACACAGAGTCATACGAGATAGCATGGACACGCAATTACGTGTTTTTCATGACATGCTGTGCAGCCCAGTGCCAGAATTTGTCACATTGTCTTGCGGTGTCTCACTCTGAGGGCCTCACCTTTCGTCTCTCGTGCTCGTCCTTCAACGTGGTGACCATGTGCCCTTTGTGTTTAACTGAGATGGTGCAAGATGAACAGACCAGGCTGCTGTCTACTGTGCAGTAGAAATTCAGCTCCTCACTGTGCTGAGGGCATTTTCGCTCATCCAAGCTCGCAATGGGATCCACTACAGCATGGTCTCTCAACCTGGGATTCTCCACGTGAGTCCTGAAGTGTGAAAAACAGTAGGACATCTCGCATATCAGGCAAGTCTTCACTGCAGAAGTCTGGCCGTCACCGCAGATGTCACAAACAATGGCCGTGGCCATCCCATCTCCAACTCTGAACTGCTCCGCCAGGTTGGCGAGGGCCACGTTCTTCCTCAGCTGGGGTCGTGCAGGGAAGGTCGCTCGGCACTGTGGGCAGCTGAAGCTGCTCGCCGTCTCCCAGGCGGCCTCCAGGCACTGGAGGCAGAACGAGTGTCCGCATCTTAGCGTGGAGGGGCAGACGAACGTGCCCAGGCAGATGGAGCAGCGCAGCTCACTATCCACACTCTCACTGGGAGTCGTGCTAGCCATGACTCATGGGTTTCGCTGAGATCGCTCGCTGTGTGGCTCAGAGAGACGCTTAACCAGGACCTCTCTCTTATAGTGACGGTGAATAAGGAAGTAAAATACTTAAAATATTTTCATTGTCATCACTGACATCAAGAGACACTGCCCGGAATGTGAACCCATGCCTTTGGTGCGCAAACAGCAGCTTCAAGGTTAACATGGTTACAATACACAGCTTGACATGAACAAAATGTATCAAAGGAATCTAATATTTTAACAAATATATACATTTAAAGAAATGAGTGTTGTAATATAAATCGGTGAGGCTCAGCTGTGGTGGCTCATGCATGAGATGAGTTTTGAGAGATAAACTCATCCTTCCAGAGCTCAGCACAAAAGTTGGTGTCTATGGTATGACAGAGCAATAGATTGGGTGCCACCATGGCTGTGAGATGTTATCTCACTCGCCTTACGGCTGCTTTATATTAAAAGTGTGCATCTTTCTCTCTCTCCCCTTGGTCGCAGGAATTTGTATCTGGGTCCTCCGGTTTACCCTCCACATTTAGAATTAACATCACGCATTTAGAGTATTTGGCTGCAATCAATTTCCACCTAAGCCACTTGATTAAGCACTTTTTTTGTGATAGGCAGGACGCTTCTGAAAAAGAGCCACATAGCTCAGTGAGCCTTACCTGGTAAAATAAAAAAAAATAGTTGGTATCATTGTAGATATCTCATGATGTTCTGTAACTCCATCTGAGTGTAATTACCCCAACGTGATGAGTTGCTTGAATCTCATCGTGGCATCTGAGATGGGATTTGTCTGTAGACTCCTGTGACCCATCCTGGAACCTTTTGCTAGCAGTGTGAATCTATCACCAACTCTACCTGCCTCCATCACCCACTGCTGGCGATGGCACCGTCTCTCACTTTCACCTTGTCCGAGATTGGAGATTCCCATTCCGACCATTCACAGCCACACCCACCACCTATTTCACCTGCGTTGTTTCATATTCGCATGTACAGCTTTTGTACATGCGTCCTCCATCCGTCTTTATACATCCCCCTCCCCTCCCCAAGTGGTCCGTGCTTTACTCATCACACCACCTCCAGCGTGTTGAGGCACAGTGTGGACGATGCACAGGCATGTTGGCAGCTAAACAAAGCCTGATGGCTGCTCTTCAAGGTTTTTCAGAAGGACCCGAAGTTAACTTCCCTAAGTAGAGCCCATTGAGCTCAAAAGTAATTTTTCAAGGGGGTTTCGGCCGGCAGACGTCAAAGCATTCCATTTCCTGTTGAACCTTAACAGACTGTTGGGGCAATTGCTGTAAGCGAGCACCTATGAAGGCTGGCACGGGGTTAACCAAGGGGAGGCCCAGCACCAGTTCAGATAATAGTCACTGGTGTTGGCCGTGAGCGGGAATCAAACTCGGGTCTCCAGGTTCGTAGCACAGTGCGCTAACCACCACAATTACAAAGATAAAAACAAAGATCCCCCATATAGCCTAAGCAGACTGTAGGGGCAAGTGCTGTTAGCGAGCACCTCTGAAGGCCGGAACGGTACACGAGAGGGTGGGTGGCCAACACCACGCCCGACCACCTTTGTCTCCCTAGTGGTGATGTTTACACACTGCACCAGGTACTCATTTGAGGCTGAGTCGACCTAGGGGAGGTCCAGGACCGGTTCAGATCATCGTCACTGGGTGTTGGCCGTGAGCAGGAATCTAACTCGTGTCGCCGGGTTTGAAGCGCAGTGCGCTAATCGCTACACCACCGCTCCCCACAATTACACACCCACTCACACACACTCACCCACCCACTGACCTACTCTCACACACACACTTCAGAATCAGAAGAATCAGAAGTTTACTTCCCTGACGAGAGCCCACTGAGCTACGACCTGGCCGGCAGATGTGGCCAAGTTTTGTGGTTGGTGGCTTGGCCCTCCCAAACTCTCTGCCCACCACGAGTGACCCAGGCAATCAAAATAACAAGAGCAATTTTTTGCGAATTCGGTAAAAAAAATCAACATTTCAAGAGCTGCCACAATGAATGTAAATGAGACGTGTATATATGTATGTGTAGAACCTCTTTCATATGGTACGTAACCAAGCGTGCTAATCGGAGGTGTGGGGGGAAAGACAACCAACTAAACACAACAAGACGCAGTTCTAAATACATTAATTTGTCAATTTTGATTATTTAAAAGTGCAAAGCTCTGGTGGCTTACTGACTGAACCGGATGAGTCGTGTGCTCAGGCAAGAGCGGGTGGGATGCGTTGTGCATGGCTTGTACGAGTGGCAGAACCGGCGAGAACTGCATTTCTGTATGGGGGTGTTTTTGCAATAAGGTTGATGGGTTGCATTTTCAAGACATTTTTTTAATTTTCCATGATGCTCATTCTTGTTTTTATTGCCGTGCTTTGCACCCTGGACACCCTCTCCTGCTAATGAGAGGTTCTACTTCGAGGGACATTGCCCAGGTGAAATATTTGAATATTTTTACCACAGGCCACCCTCACTGCTTTGGAAACGGTGGTCGTGCAATGCGTGGTTAACTTGCATCGGGGTCAAAAACAATCCGGCTCAGCTTGTGCCAAATCAAATTACATCCGTTAAGGAGCACGGAGTTACACAATAGGTAGCAAATGTCTTCCAAAGAGAACTCGCCCACCATATAGTTCAGTAAGCCGTACCTGTTAAGTAAACATAGTTTTAGTTTTTGTTTTATAGACACTAATTGAGTTGGCCAAATATCAAGGTATAGGGCGACATAGCTTCGTAAAATGATGACGCCTGTTTGCTGTGTAGCTATTCAGGCAGTGCATGGATTTGGTTGCAAGGCCAAGAACCTCGGCAACGAGCAATCCTATTTTGTCTTTCAAGTCGTGGGCACAAGCCAAGTATTAACCCTATAGTCGTGCGTTTTCTAAAGGAAGTTGTAAGTCTGAACCAATAATCACAGTCTTATACGAGTCGAAGCTGCTCTCGCACAGTCGTAAGCTCTTTAGAATAACAACCGCATTTGAAGTCGGCTGCAACATTGGCTCAGACATTATTAATTAACAACATACTTATGTAATGGTGGAGATGAGATTAATGAAATAGATGAGAGGAAACAATGGGTAAATCTGTGATGTGGGAATTTTGTGAAAGCTAAATGTATGGTCGAGCCGCAGATTCAGGAGAAACAATGCGGATTCCATCATGGTCTTGGAACAATGGGCCAGCTCTTTTCCCTCTCACAGATATTTGAAGGATCGTGGGAGTATGCTTCTCCAGCCTACCTCTGCTTTGTAGACTTGGAGACAGCAAATGACTGTGTTCCCCACAATATCTTGTGGAAGGTACTGTGGAAGGTACTGTGGGAGTATGATGTGCTGGTGCCGCTTTTGTGCACGATCCTGTCCCTCTATTCCCAGAGTGAGCGCTGTGTCCGTATTCTTGCAGTGGGTGTTGGAGTCTGCCAAAGGTGCGTCTTGTCTGCACTCCTGTTTGTGCCTTTCATGAACAGGATATCAAGGTGCAGCCGAGGTAAGTAAAGTATCCAATGTGATCATGGTGCTACACGCACCGTGATCACATTGGGGGAGATAACGTCTAAATAATCGATTTTTTTTATCAAATAAATCGTTACCTCGAATCGTGATAATCGAATCGTGTGGGGTGGGGGTAGTATCTTATTGATTCAGAGCATACGACGATACTCTTTGGTTCTATTCGGTAAAGTCACGTAGGTAAAAAATAAAACAAAAATCACGACGTTTCGGCCACAACACAAGTGGCCTTCATCAGGTGAAAGGACCAGACTGTCTAGAGGACAGCGCTGGAGTGAACACAGCCAAGCTCAGACCGCGACCTTTAAGCTGTGTGAGAGGAAACAGAGCGCCTTGACAAAGGAATTAGCATAAAAATTAGCATTTAATTGGCGGACTTAGCATGATGAACGGTGTAGAGGGGGTGAGCATGTGCAGGTCGGCGAGGGGGGAGTTTACATATTGATGGTGTGAAAAGGGAATTTAAGCAGCTGCGAAAGTTTGGGATACCACTACTTGAAAAAATATACTGTACCATTGAAAATTATTGTAATATTTGGTTTGATTCAGAACATCTTTCCAATGGTTGCTTAATTTGAAACCATCCTCTCGGTTGAAATTGTGTCTGTGTTTGTAAATCTGAATTCCCTCGTGAACAAATCTTTGATAAAAATCTCATTGGTCGAGCGAATGATGGGGACGGGTACATTTATTCGTCCAGCTCTGCTGTGTATTCTCACTGTTAGAGACTTTGTAGATTTGTTCATTTCATTTATTTTTATTATTATTTAACTCACTGTTGTCGTATCCTCAAATCTTGTAACTCAATTTTTACCCATTTCCAAATGTGGTATCGACTGCAAAAATGGTATACTTATGTCATACTGATGACAATACTATATTCTATCATAAAAAATAAAATAAAAACATTTTAAAAAATATTTTACACGCTTTTTTATTAACTCACTCTGTCCGTTGTATCCTCAAATCTTGTAACTCAATTTTAAGCCACTTCCCAATGTCAATTGGTGCTAGACCAGATGACGCCAAAAGGTGTACAGCATCATCTGGTTTAGCACCAATTGAGACGAGGCTCTAAAGAAAGCTGTCTCAGGTGTGGACCAATCCGTTTCAAGGACAAGGTTTCAGTTTTGTTGCCAGAAAAAAAGGGGAAAAACGCTATTATTATATTTTTATACTGGCAAAGGAGGTCTAATGATGTAGAATCTTTTTTTACATGTTATGTTTCGGCTTGGGTCTAATTGTCCACGCTGTAAATCGCCACAGTCCCTTACGTTATGGCAAGCTTCGGGGCCACTTCCTGGAGTCGTGGAGTTCTGCCATTACTCGTATGGTACAAATATTACTTCTTGTTGTTGTTAAAATGTTCTCCGGTACAACGAGCGCAACAACGAAATCGACTTTCTACAGGGGTCGTGCTCAGCCGGTTCTGCCGGTATCTCTGTCTCTAAACCAGCTGAAGCCTCCCATGCATCGCGCGAATTCTGTGTGGCCACCCTGATCCCGAACCCCTCCTCACTCATCTGTAGATCCCTATCTCTCTACCTCAGTGGTTCTTAACATTCACTGCAGCCTTGCACCCCGTTGGTTCTCAATCGTTAACACAATTACAATGTTAATTAATAAATACATAGGGTTTGATGAAACAAAGCAGTTGTGCTTACGTACCTGTACTTAATTTGTTTTTGATTTACCTTAATAAAACCTGGCCATGTCTCTT